ATGTGTACCCCCCACCAAAATCCATATGTTCAAACACCCAAGTGATGGTGTTAGGAGGTGGGGCCGCTGGGAGGTGATGAGGTCATGAGGGTGGAGCCTCATTGATGGGATCAGTGTCCTTATAAAGGGACCCCAGCGTGCTCCCTCAACCTTTCCACCACATGAGGACACAGAGAGAAGGCTTCATCTATGAACCAGGAGGTGAGCCCCCACCACTCGCAGCATCTGCCACACCAGGATCTTGAACTTTCAGCTTCCAGACAATGAGCAATAAATGCCTGTTGTTTATAAGCCTTGATGTCCTTTAAAAGGGACCCCAGAGAGTTCCCTCACCCCTTCCACCATGTGAAGACATAGTGAGAAGGCATCGTCTATGAACCAGGAAGTGAATCTCCACCACTCACGCCATCTGCCATGCCAGGATCTTGAACTTTCAGCTTCCAGGACAATGAGCAATAAATGTCTGTTGTTTATAAGCCTCGATGTCCTTTAAAAGGGACCCCAGAGAGCTCCCTCACCCCTTCCACCATGTGAGGACATAGTGAGAAGACCTCGTCTATGAACCAGGAAGTGAATCTCCACCACTCACGCCATCTGCCACGCCGGGCTCTTGAACCTCCAGCATCCAACACTGAGCCAGGGAACTGGCAAGCACTCCCTCAAGATTGTTTCACGCGCTGCATAATCATGCAAATCCTGTTTCACTTGAGTCAGGAAGTCTCAAAACTTTGTTTCAAGCTACCCTGCTCAAAACAAGACAGGACCCAGGACAAGTTCCAACCACTCAGAACCAAGATGGTAGAGAAGTCAACTGCATCTTCCCCTTGCTGCTTCACTTTACACCTGATTACCATAAAATTATCAAAACTATTTCTTAACCTCACCCCTCACTCCCCTCATGCACCTGACACCATGACATGTCCAATTTGACCATATTTAGTTGAAAGAGGGATGTCACCCTTATTATAGGAAAACATCAACCCATTCAAAAAAAATAACAGGAATATTCCTCTCTTTGTTCAGTCTGAAATTAAGCTTTTGCTTAAATAGAGGGACCATAGGGCCAGCTCCCCTCTGCAAAAACTATCTTCCCCTCTGTCTGTGGAGTAGATTTTCTATACAGTAGAACTTCTGTAAGGGACTGTAACCAGCGGGTCAAACCACAGAGGTGGTCGACATAAAGACTAGGCCTACTGTACTGATATGTACATGAGGTGCACGTCCAGCCCATGATAATTAGGTCAACATAAGAAGCTGGTCAGTGCAGAGACATGGTCAGCTGTGGAGAGTCTACTGTACTTGGTTATAGCAACGCAGACCAAGATGTTATTTCAAACTTGTTGAGTAAGGCATTCATCGAGACCTTAATAAGCTGATACTTTTCTTTCTTAATGATCAGTTCTTTCGCAACCAAAGAAAGAAAAAAATGTATCCTATTTTATATATTCTATGCCTTACAAAAATCACATATAAAATAAACGTAAACAGCCACAGAAATGTCATCGTGCATGCAGTTCATTTTTACTGGCCTGCCTCACCTGAAGTAAACATTCATCAGTAGCTTCCTACTCTTGGATGAATTAGAAAGTGAGTCTAATTAAAAGGATTCGTGCCTACAGAAGAGAAGGACAGCTAAAAAATGACAAAACGCACAGAGGAGCAAATGAAATGGGAAGCCACACCCCTCTGCAGGGAACCCCCACTACTGGCCGCCAACCCAGCTCACCCAAGCCGAGAATAGAGGGAGGCTGTGGTGAACTTCAGAGATTACCAAGACGTCACTCAACCCCATCACTTTCTAAACAAATGTCTCCGTGAACTCTCCACGCTCCCAGCTCTCCCAAGTAAGATCTGTTTAGATTACAAAACCAAGATCACACAAAGCAGAACTCTGGTAATTTTGTCTGATACCAAACAGGGACACACAGTGACAGGTCACACTTGTTACAACAAGAAAACAGACATATTCAGGTTAAGATTTCCATAATGCAGAAAACCCCCACACAGGACCACAGCAGCTAGGATTGAGGAGGGCTCCAAAGCGCTGACACCTCTACATGTGTTTAGCAGAGGCCCTTCAGGAAGAAACTACAGAAAATAAAAAAATCTGGGGGAAGTAAAAAATAACCAAGTAAGCACGGCACTGTTGTTGCTTGCGGAAGGTCGGGTGAGAAGCCCTGTGATGGCGTAGCAACCTTCCATACAGTTAGCAGAGCCTGAATCCCTCAGATAAGACACAGTGTCAAAGAGAGGACAGGTGTGACCACGCCAGGTTTGCTGTCAAGGCAGAAATGAAGGGCAGGAAGGGATACATGTCTGCATGCGAGGGGAGGCTGGGGCACCGGGGATCCCAGGGGCGGCTGCACTGGACATCAGCTGCTCTGCTGGGCTTCCCGTCCAGTTCCCTTTGTACAGAATCCAAAAGCAAATTGACTTTGCAAATGGGAACCCAGCACCATGGACACATGCCACAGCCTGGCTGGTGCCAGTTGTACCCTTCCCAAAACATATAGTCTATCATTTTATCCCAAGATCCCCACCCTCCTCAGACCATGGTAAGTGACCACTGAAGGGACTGTGACAAGATGGCCAACGCACAGAGGTGGTCAATATAACATACTGTAATGATGTCCAGTATGTAAGCTGATGGTCAGTGTAGGGAGGTGGTCAGTGCAGGGAGGGGGTCGGTGCAAGGATATTCAGTGTAGGGAGAGGGTCAGTGCAGGGAGGGGGTCAGTGCAGGAAGGAGGTCAGTTCAGG